CCGATTTTACGGTTTTATTCCGGTTTAATTATTTAAGCGGTTTAATTCAAGAATCGGATTGACTGAGGCCTCGATTCACGGTCTAAGCAGTCGAATCGATTGGTTCAATTCGATTGTAATAACACTGGATAGAAGGGTCAGAGAGAGATTTGGGGATCGATTTCCTACTGGAATATGACGTTGTTTGGAAAGAACGTGAGTCAGAGAGAAGTTGGGCAAAAGAAAGGTTACGGGGGGGAGGACAGGAAGAAACAAGGGAGATTTGAGAGAGGAGCAATGTGTCAAGTATCTCAAATTTATAACTTAAATTTGTATTCTAAATCAAGGAGGATCAATGAGTCTCGTCAATTTTTTAAAATAAGACCCACTGATCTAATAATTCTCTTTGATTTGAGTTACAAATTTAGAATACATATCATTACTCTTTTAGAGCAATATAATGTTATTTGAAAAGAAGATCTAGAGATAGACAGAGGTGGTCAGCTGACATGAATTTGGGAAAAATTAAAAAACTGATTTAGGATAATTAAACATGTAGAGTAGGTTTTTGGGTGGGGTTGGGGGGGGGGGGGAACAAAATTTGTCAATCAATCTGAGTTGTAAGATCAATACTGAAGTCTGAAGATAATATGAATCTTTGAATATAATTTATTTTTTGTTTATAATTAATTTGAACCTCGAAAAGTTCAAGATAAATTTTAAATTTCAAATTTAGTTCTACTTTATTATTATATAGATACAATAAATTTATGTAAAAAGTAACAAATATGTACAAAAATCCATCTACATTATTTTTTTTTTCTCTGTTGCGCCGGAGTTTATTCTCATTTGGATGAGTCCAACATGACCGTGCATTGGAAAGGTTCCTCGTTAACAAAAAAAATAAATAAATAAGTATTGTTTCATCTCACTTTGGTCATCATTCTTTCCGTTATGTCAACTTAGTCATGGAAGTTTCTCGTATTTGTACTATTGCTCTTTAAAGTATGTAAAAAAAATGCCATATTCGTCCCATACTTACAAAAGTTTTTGATAATTAATTTGAGTTTAAATGGCCAAATTAACAACAAGCTTTTAGCTTCATAACAAAATATGTTTTACGGCTTTTCACTAAGGGTAGGGTTATTCCCACCCCCACAAATCTTTATTTTCACCTCATTTAATTTCTCATTATCAAACTACTAAGTCCACCTCTTCTATACCTATCTCATTAGTAACTAAACTCACTTCATGCTACATACATCTCCTTTTAATAAGTAAATTCACTTTATATTTAGTATTACTTTTTAATTTAATTTTATGTTTGATTTTATGTTTGTTATATGAATTTTCATTATTTTCGGTATGTTTTGATATCTTTGTCACGTAAAACTACAAGACACAAAATCAAATATGAAAAAAAAGTATCAAGCACAGGCACAAAATCAAACATTACAAAAAAAATTTATTGAGTATATTACTGTTACTATTATGTTACTATTTATATTATTATTATGTATATATAAATTTATGTTACTATTACTGTTATGTGTGTATGTGTGTGTGTGTGTATATATATATATATATTATGTTACTATTCATGTTAGTGCTTTGTTGAGTATATTACTGTTCATGTTACTATTATTTTGAACATGTTACTGTTTTTGTTGAATATGTTATTACTATTATTTTCTTAAATATTAATATTTAATGTTATTATTTTTTTTTTGTTTTTGAATATTACTATTTTTTGTGTTTGAATGGTACTATTTTCTGCCTTTGAATTTGAGAGAAATAATTTTTGTTAAGTATGTTACAATTATTGTTAAGTATATTACTAGAACCAGACTGGACATTGAACCGATAGAGGGACCGGGTCACTAATCATTGGTTCAACCGGTGGTTTAACTGGTCAAATCGGTCTTATAATAAAAAATATAAAAAAATTATAAAATATAATAATTTAGCCAAAAAATATAAAATATGTTCACAATACATACAATTTTTCAAAATTTTTAATTTGGAAATTTTGTTCAATTTAGGAGTTTGTTTGATAATTATTTACTTTCTAACCCTTAGGTGCAATGAGTCACTGACCGTTTATTTATGTATTAGTTGACTGTGTGTATATTGACTCGGTGATTGAGTTTGTGTAGAGAGAGAGAGAGAAAACTAATCGCTGGTGAGCCTGAGTATTAAACAGTCTCGATGTACTGCTTCCTTGGTCGCCTGAGTATTGATCGCTGCCTCCTTGGTGAGACGAAGAGGACTGGTCACTGAGCATCGATGGCTGCCTCACTCCTTTTTCTCTGCCTCATGTGATTTAGGGCGAAATCAAAATGGCCCAAAATCAAATTTTCATGTTTTCTTTTATGAACTTCAAACCGGTCCGATTTTTGGAAAAATCGGCCGGTTTGACGGTTTTTATCCGGTTCCCTTGTGAGGTTTAACTAGTCAACCAGATCAGTTAAAATTCTGGGTAGGGATGTCAATGAACCGAAGTGGAGGCGGGGTATAATCCCCATCCCCGTACCTGCATAAAAAAACATCGTTCATCTCCGGTCCACCCCCGTTAACTGGTATAATTTTTATTCCCATCTCCGTCCGCGGTTATACTTTTAATCCCCGCCCCCATCTCTACTTCTCTTGTACTTGCCCAAGCTTAAGCCCAAACCCAAGACTAAACCCAATCCCAAGCTCAAGTCTAGTCTAAGTCCAAGCTCAAATCAACATAATGCAAAATTTTAAATAAATTCAACAAAATTCTAAATAATTTAACACAACATAATATACTTATCTAGAATCATGTTTCTTTACTACCAAAAAAGGTGAGCACCTAAATATATTCTTCACTATACTGATGTTGCAAATTAACCAATGTAGAAATAGAAACCCAAAAATCCTATAGTACATGCGAGTTTAATAATAATGTTTTAAGAGCTCCATTAGTACCAATTGACATGAGACAACAAATAAGCAACAATCAACTAATGAACGCAAAAAAAATAGGCAAAATCTAACTTATGAACGCAAAATATATATATATATATATATATATATATATATATATATATATATATATATATATATATATATAAACAAACAGAAATACTAACTCGAATGATTAGATATAAAATACATATATATATATATATATATATATATATAATCATTCAAACAGAATACTAACTGGAACAATACTAACTCGAATGATTAGATATAAAAAATATATATAAAAAAAAAATCATTCGAGGAGAATACTAACTCAAAGAATACTATTGGATATAAAAAATATATATATATATATATATATATATAAAATCATTCGAACAGAATACTAACTCGAATGATTAGATATAAAAAATATATAGAATACTAACTCGAATGATTGGATATAAAAAATATATAAAAAAAAAATCATTCGAACAAAATATTAACTTGAAGAATACTATTGGATATAAAAATATATATATAAAAAATCATTCGAACAAAATACTAACTCGAAGAATACTATTGGATATAAAAAAATATATATATAAAAAATCATTTGATAAATATATATATATATATATATCGAATGATTGGATCCTAACTCGAAATAATTTAATGTTTCGTTCATTTATCAAACTCTAACTCGTACAATGGGATGAACCTTCGTCAAGGACGATGTAGACAGATGACTGTTGCGTGGCCGGAGAAGAAGCGAGGATGAAGGTCTTTTCATGGTGGAGCTTGTTTCAAGTAACTAAAAAATATGATGGTTCTCTGATAATGATTCGCGAAGTTGTACCTTGAGTCAGTGTATTTCACGCCTGTTGAATCATCGACTAAGGATGAGTAAGATCTAGATTGTTCAAAGATTCTGGGTATTGGTAGATCTTTGTACTCACCAATTGAGGATGGGTGAGATTTAGAATGTTTATATATTAAAATGAGTACTCACCGACTCAAAGCTTGGTCGTGCAAAATGAGGCCCAATCCAAGATCTGCGAGGAGTTGCGATGGGTGTGAGTAGCTGCGATGGGTGTCTATTTTATTCTGTGTGTGTGTGTGTGAGAGAGATAGAGAGAGATGGAGGCGACGACCGAAGGCTGATAGAGGAAGAGACGAATAAATTAGGGCTTTAAGCCTTAATTGGGATTGTGGTATATATATATATATATATATATATATATATATATATTTAACGGGTATAACGGGGACAGGGCGGGGATGGGGCGGAGATAAGGGTAAGTCCATCCCTACATGGGTTTATACGAATATTTCCGTATACGTTCACTGTCCAATATGTATAGTCCATCCCCAATTCAAACGGAGTGGGATTGGACGAATACCCGTTTTTTTTCGGTCCATTGTCATCCCTAATCCTGGGTCATGGTTGAACCGGTCCAATCCACGGTTGAAGCGGTCCGGTCCAATTCTAATAACACTACTTAAAAAGTGTCCTTAAAAAAAACAAAAAAGAAATAAAATTTACTTTTAGAAATCGATATCAAATGGTATCTTTGTCTATACAAAGGTATACAAGTACTTGCTTCAGTTCTAATTATAAATTAAAAGGGTTAATTATAACATGTCCCCTTGAAGTTTAGGTCACATTGCAGTTAGCTCCCTCTTGTTTTAATTTAAGCAATAACCCCATCAAGTTTTGACATTACATCAATTATTGAATTGCCATTAAATCTGACCCTTAAACTCACAGACGTTTACCACGTTAATATGACCTGACTTGAATTCATTTAAATGACAAATTTACCCTTTCTTCTCTATCTTTAAAAACTAAAACAACAAAAGAAAATCTTACCCCTAAACACACCACCGTAAACCCCACCCAAACCCCTGCAACTAGTAGACGCCGCAAGTAGTAGCCCCAACCATCCTCTGGGTAGTCCCCACTTTTATCTCACCATTATCAGCTCTAAGCCCATACTCGTCATTTTGCAGCTATTTTCCCTGGAACCCCTCCTACTACACATGAACAAATCTAATCGCACACACCACGACACAGATCCATTGTAAACCTCTTCGCCAAAGCTTTGTTTGTTGGAGCCCCTTGGTTCAATCGAAGTTAGTCGCGACCCTATTTGGAGATTCGACAGAATGGGTGCAATTGGAGCGCTGCTTAACATTGGGTGCCGAATAGGTGGAATCGGCTCTTTTGCTCGTGGTGAAACTTCTACATCTGTAGTAATGATTGGCGGCTGTTGTGGTTGGAAGATTTGCATTTGTCTTATTCTCTTTTATCTCGTTCTCTAATTTTCTTTGGGTTCATTGGTGTTTGGTGATGGTTGGTTGGGTGGGCGTGGCCGCAACGACGACAAAGATATGGGATGCTGTTGGTGTTTGGTGTCAGCGGCCATGAGAGGGGTTATTGGTGTTGCCATCAATGACCACGGGATGGCATTGTCAGTTGAATGTGTAAAAGATTGGGTGGAGGTGATAACAGAAGGTGGAATTGGTGGCAGGTAGCTAAAGGGAATAATAAATAACAGTATAATGTTTAAAATGTATTTTAGGACTTTTATCTTTTCCATCCATTCTATAAATTAATTTAATCTATTTAAAACTTGAAGAGGCTAATTGTTTAAATTAAAATCAGAGAGAATTGATTGTAATGTGATCCAAACATAGAGGGGTTATTTTGTAATTAACCCTTTCACAAATATGTAGGCCGCAAACGAAGGTGAAGAACTTCAAATGACAAAGACAAAGAGGCAATATACTTTAACGTGACATATATTTTGGTCTTTAACTTATTAAAGGGTAAAAAAAGAAAACAAAAGAACTTTAGCAATATGAATTTAGAATTTGAAATTAATATTAAACAAAAATTAAACAGAGAAATATGAAAGGGTAGGATATAAGAGACATTAGTTATTTTACTAAGGTTATTTAGGTCAATCAATTTTTTTTTTATTTTTGTTGATATTTTATAGTAGTATAGATGTACCCATCAATTTTCTGTGGACGACTATTGTTGATCTTCTTCCACATCTACAAGTTTATACGACAAGAGCATTTATATGAGGGCTTCTGAGCCACTGGTATAAACAAAGAAATTAGAAAGAAACAAATTGTCTCAGATAAATCTATCTTTCATTTTTATGGTTTAAAGTTAGCCCAGTAATTTTAGACACAGACGTTTTGAAATTGACGAATTTGGGCATAACCTTAACGATTTTTTGGGTATTAAACGGGTAAATCCATAATATATTTCAAAATTTGGTTCCACATGAGCTATAATAAGTATGAAGTAAACTTACTAAACATGGTTTATAAAAGGCACAAACCCAATACGGCGCTAACCTAGGTGAGTTAAATGTTTTGATACGACATAAACGCGACACAACACGTCCCATTGATAAGTTAAAAGACCACTGCAGTTGTCTTTCCTCTCTTCTCTGCATGGTAACACAAATTTTGTATTTAGAGTTTCAATGGGCCCTAGATTATTTGTAATTAAAATTCTCTCAAGGAAACTGTCAGGATCGTTGTAATTTTTTGGCTTGAGAAAGACTATATCACAAGGACGACTTGACTTAAGAAAGTTGTACTCTTCCCTTCCTCTTCCTTTCCCTCTGTACCAAACGTTGTGACCCTAAAGAAAATTGCGTATATGAAAGGTCAAAACTCAAAAGTACCAATGAATTGTCCATCAAAGAATATTAAAGAAAATTAGACCTTATGGTGTCATCTTCGAACAATTTATGTTCTTCATGCCCGTGTTCTAGTTATTTTATATTGAATAATTGTTCCTCTTCTATGCATCTAAAATACCATCATAATGAGTGATGAGACATTTTCGAAGTACTTCAAGATGAAGACACGTGTGAAGACCCTGCCCCATTACCGGGACCCTGTCTTCCAAGGGTTAACCTCCCATTACCGGGATATCACCACCCTCCACCAAAGGATTTCGGCTGACCTGCGGGTCAAACCCCCACAGTAGCCTTTACCTCTGTCCCACATCGGGGAAAGAGTCGTCTCCCCACCCCCATATAAGCCGAAGCACCATATGAGAGCAGTACCCAAGTAGCACACTGTGGTACTTGGGTACTGCTCTCATATGGTGCTTCGGCTTATATGGGGGTGGGGAGACGACTCTTTCCCCGATGTGGGACAGAGGTAAAGGCTACTGTGGGGGTTTGACCCGCAGGTCAGCCGAAATCCTTTGATGGAGAGCGGGATATCCCGGTAATGGGAGGAATGCTCTTGGAAGACAGGGGTCCGGTAATGGACCAGGGTCTTCACACAAACAATTTACTATCTGGAGAAATTCCACAATTAATCTGCAATGCGAGATTTCTTCAATTCCTTGACTTGTTGAATAATAGCTTGAGTGGAAAAATTCCCCAATGTTTCAGCAAGTTTAGTGTTTTCCTAACAGTGCTGAATTTACAAAACAACAATTTTCATGGCACCATTCCTTTAGCATGCAACAAAAAAAGCAAGTTGAAAGTTATTGATTTAAGTCAAAATCAATTTGATGGGCCATTACCAAGATCTTTGGCCAATTACACAATGTTAGAGTTTTTTAACCTTGGAAACAATCAAATCAAAGACTTTTTTCTTTTTGGTCGGAAACTCTTCCGGAGTTGAAGATTCTCCTTTTGAGTTCTAATTGGTTCCATAGTACCATAATCGGTCACCTCTCGAATTTTGATTTCCCAAAGTTGTGCATCATTGACCTTTCCTACAACAGTTTTACGGGTGAGCTTCCATCAAAATACTTTCAAAGTTGGAATACGGAAAAAATTCACGAGGCTGGCCAATCTATATATTTGCATGCCACTAACAATTTCCAAGCACTAGAGTATGATTTTTCTGAGATTTTTATATTTTCAATGACAATGAGAAACAAAGGGCTTGAAACTTTCTATACCAAGATCCTTAAGGTCTTTGTAGCCATTGATTTCTCAAGCAATAAATTCAATGGAGAAATTCCAAAATCTATTGAAAATCTCAAGGGACTTCAGTTGGTCAACCTTTCAAACAGTGGTTTCACTGGTATCATGCCATCATCGTTAGGGAACCTGACGGATCTACAAGCTTTGGATGTTTCTCAAAACAAGCTCTCATGAGAGATTCCTCAACAACTGACGTAGTTGACATTGCTTGCATTTTTCAATGTCTCTCATAACCACCTCACAGGAGCTATACCAAGAGGGAATCAATTTAATACTTTTGAGAACAATTCATTTGATGGGAATCCAGAATTGTGTGGAGGCCCTTTGTCCAAAAAATGTGGAAGTTTTGAGGTATTGCCGCCACCACCTATAACCCTTGAGAATGGCAATTCAAACTTCCCTAGTAAGTTTGATTGGATTTTCATATGAATGGGATACGGAAGTGGGCTAGTAGTTGGATTTGTGATCGGGCACATTCTGACCACTCGTAAACATGAATGGTTTGTAGAAACTTTTGCAAGGAGGCAACAAAAGAGAAGGAAGAAGAAGAGGGCGCAAAGAGGTTGCAATCGAGAATGAATGCATATGTTGGGTTTTCTAGTGAAGTTCGCAGAAGTATTTGCAAATTCAGCGTAATGCTGTTTACAGAAATTAGTGACTACTAGAAGGTGACAATGTTTGTGTTTTTTTTGTTATTCTCCCTTCTCTGTGGTTCACTTGGACATTCTGTTTTTCAGCTCCATGGAGGTAAGGCTTTTAAGCCTCCTCTTAGTATGTATTTAGTTACTGTCAAGTCTTTTTTTTAATAAACACCATGGTTTCATACTAAACCCACACCAATGTGTTCGTGGAACAATGTCAAAGGATACTTCTTCGGTGCACTAGAAATGAAGCAAGTTCATGCATACGTCTCTACAAACAAATGTATCATTTGATAACATTTTTTTAAAAATTATACGTTTTAATCAAAAAGAAAAACATATTTACTTACTATTTCATACAAGGGATTTAGATGCATTTCAATATGTAAATAATTCATTAAGATTATAAAGGCGTAATAGGGTTACCAATTCGTTCACTACTGTCTATTGACAGAAGTTCCGACCATTGTAGCTATGTAGCATGAGGTAGTGCTATTATACTTGTACTAGAATCCCGATTCATTCTTCAAATTCTTATGATCCTAAGCTCGAGAACTTATATCGGAAGATCCAAATGGTTTTTGATGGGCTGTCACATTTTATCATCTCTGAATTCTTCTTACTAGCACTATATATACCTTTATATTTTGGGGCATCTTGAGATGAGACGAGTTCGCCACTCCATCCCCATCTCCTAGAATACGTGAATTCATAGATATGTCGCTATGCACATATGGGTTTGATCTTAACCAGAGCAACTATTGTCTGATTGTACGTTAGCATGGAGATGCACTGTTGCTTTAGAACAATAACTACACGCCTCACAGACTATGGGTCTATCTTTCAGATTAATTTTGTACAGTATTCATAGTCAATTATTTACATTCTCTCATTTGTCTAGAAACTGTGTAAATTTTTCATAGTACTCTAAAGGAGCAATGTGTATATATATACATAAAAAACGTGTCCAGAGTAGAGTCTCATCCACAACCTTCGCCTGGTAGTTTGAACAGAGCCGTCATCTAATTACAATATTCCTATTATAAGCTACTTCTGGTATATTCAATTCAATAACAAAATTAAAATAAGTTCTCCAAAGAGGAGTGATATTCTTTCTAATATATTTTGTTTAATATTTTTTAAGTGTAAAAAACCAACCCTATATGGTTAGGGGACCCACTTATAAATAGTTAATCCAAAGTGGTAATTGATTTACCATTGAAAGAAATTGAATTTTTTTTTGATTTCTATAGAGTATGAGTTCCAATGTCTTTCTAATCACAACAATGAATGGTCAAATTAAATTAACAAATTAGTTCCAAACACTGTTATTGTAATATATAATGATTTATCATTGATAGCATTTAGCATTTAACTTAAATGATTGTATAGCGCATGATCAAAATGAATGACGAAGACGGGCTCATATAGCCGACCCCAAATAATTCGGACATAAAGTTTGGTTTGATTTAGCATTTAACTTTCAGTACCATGGTGTAGGGCTCTTAAACTCAGTCCGATAAGTTTCCCATAACTCTTCTAAATTGGCCAGGCCTTTTAAATCCACTAACAAGCCTTTGAGAAAGTAGTGTGATGGATCGTATTCTTTAGAGAAAAACTACAAAAATTGAAATGAGAGTTTGTGAAACATCAAGTGTACATAATTTTATTGTGGCG